ATTGACATAGCATCTGTGGGCCATTTGCTCTGGAAATTGAGTCACAAGCCGTATAATCAACAGTCAGTAATTCTTGCTGAGGGGCTTACAGTGGGGCTGGAGCGGCAGACACTCCTGTCCCCTTAAAAGTCCACTTGTCCCGTCTGGAGGAAAGGTTTATTTTTATTTTTTATATGAGGAACTCTGTGTAATTTCTCTTCATTGTGCAATGGTACAAAACATCATCCCTGTCCAGGAGATCTGGTCCACTAGCAGACATGCTTCTGGTTGCTATTTGCAAGTAATCTGATGCTGTTTTAGTTGTCTGTTTCTAACAAGGCACAGAACTGTGACTAGCTATAGACATGTCTCTCGTGTTTTTATAAGTGTGCGGAAAAAGATCAGAGAATTTGTCTAAATACACCAGACTCTCGCTAGAACATGGGTTTCGGTGACTGCATTATAGCGGGGAACGCGTTAAAATGAATTGCAATTAAAGTAATTAAATTTGGGATACGTGGCCGCGACCGCATAATATGCGAACTCGCGCTATATAGACGTGCGTTCTAGCGAGGGTCCAGTGTACAAGCAATTACCTTCCTTCTTTGTGAGGTCACTGTTTATTGTAAATGAACATCTTACCTCAGGTAAGGTGCAGAGTAAACTGTATTAGAATTGTGCAGGGAATCAATGGCCAGTTAAAAGCGCATTGTTAGTAACAGGCTCTCATAACGAAAATTATTTAAGGAAACAATATAATAAGTCTAATGATGGTTTTGGTTTTGTTGTGGGGAGGGCAGGAATTAGATCAACCCACTTCCCTAAAAGGGATTCTTCATTCTTTTCCTATATGAATTTCATTTTTAAGTGAAGCTGGCCATCTGGAACTTGGCAAAAACACTGATACGCATATGGTGTAGATCAAAGCTCCTCTGATTTCAGTGGATGGATGTTGATTTACACCAGCTGAGGATCAGGACCACTGTATCTAACATTAAAACCTGCAAAGCTCTTAGTTTCTAAGGCCTGTGCGGTTAGCTTTTCCTTTTAAAAAGAAATATCTAATTTGCCGAACAGTGGGAAATCATTTTGAAACAGTGACATGATTTCAAATTCCCTACCAGTCTTCACCAGTACAAATATCTAGAAAGAACAGTCATGTCTGCTTCATCAGCTCTCACTCCAGCTTGTGCAGAGAAGGCAGAAGGACCTTCTGTGAGGCAGGAATGAAAAGTAGTAATTCCTTTCATCCTGATATAGGAAGATCTAGACACTGTCGGCATCTCACTTCCCCCTCCCAAGCATCATACACAACCCTAATCTGCATGTTTCCCAAGACACCAGAGGCACCGTCCAGATGTGCAAATGTGTGGATTGTCTGTTCCTGAAAATTCTTCCCAAGTCTCAAGCAGAATTGATTAAAAATTCTTTGCTCTGGAAAAGGGAAGCAATGCAGACGGAGCATCCTAGACTTTCAGTTTATTCATAGAGGATATTGTGTAGTTTCCTTCTCAAGAACTGGAAACAGCATTGAATTTACAAAGTGTTGGGAGAGGCAGAATTACTGTTACGATATTTAAATAGTAAAGTGATTTTCCAGAATATAAGCCGTTTTACTGCCTCTTCAACTGGGCATTGATACTGTTGGTGTCTCAGATAATGCCATTTTCAGCAATAGGATTCCATCAAGAGGAGGCTCAGAAATGTCCATTTTAATGGGAAATTGGGGTTTGATGCACTGTATGTAACCAACATTTTTTTCCCCATCAGCACATCTTAATTGCTCTGGCAAAATCTTTATGATGCCATCAGACCTCCTCACTTGCCTTGTACAATGGCAATGGATGTGTCCTCAGTCATCCTGCTGTGTATTGTACTCTGACACATGGTATAGTGTATATATAGTATTCAGATTATCAACAGGTTATTTATAATGTTTTTTATAGCCTCAGTCCTGCAGTCAGGTTAATGTGAGTGAACCCTTGAAGTGGATGGGCCACACAAGCATTCAGGATCTGCCTGTGCAGTTTCTATTGCAATACTGGTTTTTTGAGTTGCAAACAGGGCTCTGGTTAACTTGACTCATGAACCAGGTGGAAGTGTGCACGCTACGCATGCCTGCGTTCTTTATATTGGCCACCAGTAAAGTAGAGGCTTGAATTTTTAAATTGACAGTCATTGGTTTTGAAAGCTCTTCATGGCATAGGATCTTGGAGCATTGAGACCAGGAACCTTGTCCTGATGGATAGCAGCCTTTGTTCATCACCTGCCATTAGGGATCCCAGCACCCTAACGTCCTGTCTGGCACTCGGATGTATGCCAATGGACCTTTGGGACCAAACAGCTCTGACTGCAGAATCAGGGCTTTCCTCAATAACCACCCTGATGTTCCGGGTCAGTCTGACCTGGAACCTGCTTCCCCCTGCTGTCCAGCTCAGTCCATCCCTCCCTATCTTTAGAAGGCAGCTGACTACTGTTTTTCCCCAAAAAGGTGGTGGTGGTTTGTTTTTTTTTTTAGAGTGATCACTGTTGGTTCCTGTTTATCATCATCCACCCCTTGTACTGGATCCTCTCATTTGCTGTTACCTCTTCCTCTCTCTTTCACTTACCTAGATATTTATTATGCCAGGCTTATTCCCATTGGATCTCAGGGTCTTGACTTCTAAGAGGATCATTTTTAACTGTTGATGTTGTATTTTGATTTAGTGGTTGTTATGCTGGACAGTGTCTTCAGTGGAGATGGAGGGGGAATATTATTTTATTTAGTAGTTGATCTGCAAGTAGGAAAGTTTTGAGGCCCTCTCTGGGCCACAGCTGGATTTTGATGTCACACAGAACATCATAAAAATGATTCGTATTTGACTTCTTATTTGTGGAGATAAAGTTGAAAGGCCTTAGAATGTAAATGGTAGTTTCAGTCACATTTTCGGGGTATTATTTATCAATGTCACAGAGTGTTATGTTTGAGGGATTTTCTTTTTCCCTCTAGTAAATTAGATTTGAAGAGGGAATTGGCTTTTGAAGCTAGAGAGACAGGTAGCTTTTTGTTAGTTCTGAGACACCTTTGTGGAAGCCTTATTTCTCAGGAATCTGGGGGATATAATCGGGAACGTGTTCTGGAGCACCTCATTATGAGAATTACATTTCACCATTTGCTTCTCATATAAGCAGAGCAATGTAGAAGCAAATGCCCAAGAGAATAAATTCTTCCCTCAAACTAAAACGTTTGCAGTGGAGGAGCAGTGCATCAATTAGCAGGCTGTTAATTAAATAGCTTGTTTGATTTGCATCCAAATTATAATTTGTATGTTATATCTGGGCTTTGATACCTTTCCACTAACTGTTCCATGTATCTTTTTTAAGTTAAATTCTATTTTCCACTATTAAAACCTCATTCAGTCTCCAAAGTCTATGGTACGAGAAGATTAAAAGGTCAATCATTTTTGTATCCATTTAAAGTCCATTATTAGTTGCCCGCTACAACCTATCAAGCAACTCTCTTATTTTTTCCAGCCACTGATTCAGGAATCTATAGCTCTGTGCAGATAAATGGGATTTCATGGGCTTCTAACCTTCTTGCTTTATTGAAAAGCAGAATATTAACTGCTCCGCTGACCAGCTGTCCATTAAAAACATACAGGCTATTTTTAGAAAATTGTTTGCCAATCAAATCCTAACATCCGTGGAGAGCCTTTCAGTTTGTTTGTTGTTTTATAAGCAAATGGTACAACTGCTTTCCCCCCTCCATTTAAATATTACCACTTACCTTCTCTCTGGGTCTCTGTGCATGTCTCAGGGCGTTATGAAGTACTGTAAATAGCGCAGCATGTTAGCTGGAATTGTAAACCTGTGAGGTTTAACAAGTCCATTAGGTGCTAGTTCTTGCTAGTCTATGGGGCCCCCTGCTTTATTTTCTCTTTAGTGAAATTAGCACTTAAAATTTTTTGCTAGACCCAGAGCTAAAAGTGTTCTGTTAGCCGGTAGGACTGTAGGCCAAGCTCTAAGTTATTAGGGAGTTGACATCTGGCTAATAATTGGCTGGAGTTCAGGAGAGACACAACCTGGCAAAGCATACAAATGCACAGATGCAGAGAGCTAACTGCTCTGGATTTCTGAAGAGACAGCTCTGGGTGTCTCTGGGCTGGCTATTGAGGACTTAACCCATTGATGTTAGCAACTGAAATGTCCAGATACTTATCGTCATCATACCAACCGCTACTGCTGGGGAAATCCTGATTTTTCCTTCCACAGAGTTTGATGGGCACTGGAGTTTTTTTCAGACCTAGTGCAGATCTTCCAGCCCACCTAGCATTACCAGGTTAATAACCTAATACCAGGACTTCGAGAAGCTGTAAATCAGAAAGACAAACATCTTTTTTTTTTTTTTTAATTAAAATGTACAGCTTTCTTCAGTGAAATATGGCTTTGGGTCAGATTCAGAGAGACTCTGAGCATTCGCATCTCCTATAGAAGTTAGCAGGAGTTGTGGGTGCTCATTGTCTCTTGGGATTATGCCCTTTAATTTTATTAGATTTTTTCCCCTTTATATCATTGTCACCAGCCAATCAGAACCCATCTATGCAGCTCTGTACTGCATTAATCAAAGAGAGGAGATGCTTTTTATGTGCAGAGTTGTTATGATTAAATTACCTCCCCTTTTGTCTTTCATTTGCCATTTCATTTTAATGAATATTTTATAGAGATGATTTCTGCTTTTTAATAGTACAGAAATGTGAGTCCTGCTTCAGCTCTCACTCCTGCTTTATACCAGTAGAGTTACCTTTTCCACCCCAGCATAAATAACAGCAGAATCCAGTTTGCAGACACAGAATCAACTTTCGGTTAAAACTTCTTTTAAAAAAAAAACCTGTCACAGTTAATAACGGGAGAGTGGGAAAGTGGTCTCAGCCAAAGTCTTGAGAGCTGAGGAGTTCATATTTACATCTGTTATTAAATAATAAACTCAAACCCATTATTTCATCCCACATTCCCAGTGATCCACTTCGTTCTCTCCAATGCAGGGTATTGATTTCTGTCCTGGGCAGAACATTTCTGGAGTAACAACCCATACTCAGGAGGAACACACCAAACTGCCTCTGCTCTTCCACTTGGGAAAGGACCCTGGGGAAAAATATCCAATAAGGTGAGCAAGAAAGACACTAATGGAAATGTTCATTGTTGTAAATGTTCTGGTCCAGAAGGATCTGGGAAGTGAGGTGACAGGAAAGTCTTCAGAGAGCACAGTGTGACTTTAACACAAGGCTTAGTTCATCTGGCATTTACTCTCCTGTTACAGATGCATTTGGTCCCATTATTTCACTGACCTGACTCTTTTGATTACTGGAAAAGGTGGGTGAGGTAATGTTTTTTATTGTACCAACTTCTGTTGGTGAGAGAGACAAGCTTTGAAGCTTACACAAAGCTCCTCTTCCAGCTATTCAGGTTCTGTTTCCTATGGGTAAAATAAGCTGTATTAAATGGTCAGCATGTCACTGTGAGCATTATATTGTTTTCATGTCTTGCTGTCCATCTTATTAATTCATTATTAATGGTATGTATTTTGTTAATTGATTATTATTTTGTCCCAAGAGGGATGTGAACAGGCAAATGCATCGAATGAAACTGATATGGCGATTGTGCCAATCTAGCAGTTAAAGCAGAATCCACGATCATATAGCTATGTGTGGAAGGGAGACACATTTCTTAGGGAACAAGTGGTGGTGTAGTACATTAGCATAAATATCACCTTGGGTATATGGCAGTACCTAAGGGGTATCTGTTTTATATATTTCTCAATAGACTTGCTAGCTGTATCTTAAAATCTGTATGAAGATCAGGTGTTACTCCCCAGAAAGCTTAGACAGGTGACCACAATTCCAAACTAACAAATAGAGAACAGAACAAAATATAGTTTTTCAAATGGTTTGGCCAGACACTGGGTTGGCACCTGTCCCAGGTTGGCTTAGACTGTCTAAAGAAAAGGAGGACTCGTGGCACCTTAGAGACTAACACATTTATTAGAGCATCAGCTTTCATGAGCTACAGCTCACTTCATTGGTTGCATGCAGTGGACAATACAGTGGGGAGATTTATATACATAGAGAACATGAAACAATGGGTGTTACCATACACACTGTAAGGAGAGTGATCAGGTAAGGTGATGTATCCGATGAAGTGAGCTGTAGCTCATGAAAGCTTATGCTCTAATAAATTTGTTAGTCTCTAAGGTGCCACAAGTACTCCTTTTCTTTTTGCGGATACAGACTATCACGGCTGCTACTCTGAAACCTGTCATTAGACTGTCTAGTAGCTCTTGTCCCATGTCCAACACCCCTTACCTTTTGTGTCCCATGGACAGGACTGACTCTAGGGCAGCTGCAGAATAGCAAATCAGTGAACATGCACACCCAAGCTAGTCTGCTGTCTGCGCTTGTTCTCCAGGGCCAAGCCTCCCCTTTCCCATCTCAGCACATTCTGAGAGGTTTTGTCACCAGTACCTTCCCCCTGCATTCTGTCATGGCAAGTGGGAAGCTTTCAAGCCTGTGGGAGCTTCCTCAGAGAGTAATTGAGTTGGTGGATTCCCTGCCTACTCTTTGGAGTGGGCTGGCCTCTTAATCTCCCATAACTGTGTCACTGCAACCTGCACCTCTAGCAGACTTCCTGCCTCAAATGATTTGTGCAAAGGTTTAAGCAGGCATCAGCTAACCCAGCCAGAAAGTGAATCAGGCCCTGTAAGTTTAATTACAACCACCCTACGAAAAGTCTGGCTGGGCTCCACCCTTCTCCATTGATTAGGAAGAATGATATGGGAGTTTTAGCACAGTCAGATGGCGGACTGGGATATGCTATCATTTCCATTCCCGTTGGCTCTGATTTATAGAATGTATAAGTAAATAAGGAGGAAAGTGGAGCCACCAGGACCACCTGCACAGAAATGGTTTTGCGCAGTGGCTTCTACAGAGATGTTTTCTGAACTGACAGGACTGCAATTACTCAACCATTTTAAATAATTGAGTGGATGCACTCATTCCATTATTTTCAACAGCACTGAGCCTGTACTGTCCACTAAGTGTTCTCACTAGACAGAGAGAAGGGGAGAAAACATATTTTCACTTCTCTCTCTCATAACAGATGAGCACCCTAGAGGTACATTACAGAGTGTATAAAACTCTCCAGAATCCCATTGCATTTGCTCTCTTTCTATTGCATTTCAGCACTAATGAACAAACCAAATCATATCACATCTTATTCTTTGCAGTTGCTGCTGTGTTTTAAATTCAGCTCAGTAAAATTACATTACTGGATTGGGATTCCAGATGAGACTATATCCGGTTTGGGTTAATGGCTGTGTTTTTTGCGGAAGGTGGAAATCACCCCATTCCAAAAATTAGATAATCAGAAATCTTATCTTGGCTATGTTGGTCTGTGTTTTGGAGAGGCTTATCTGGGAGGTGTCTGTCTGCAGGGCACCTGCTGCCTGATAGTTTAAGCATTCCTTTCAACATCCATGTTTTGAGGATTGAACTAAATTCCAGTGATACGTCTGTAGTCATTTCTCATATGGTTCCATTGCTTTCTGGACACACACAAGCTGTTGCCTTGATTGAATTTTATGGTAAGATTATGACATGATTATGGAAAGCAGTGATGTTATTTAGTCTGCGGAAGAGAAGAATGAGAGGGGATTTGATAGCTGTTTTCAACTACCTGAAAGGCGGTTCCAAAGAGGATGGATCTAGACTGTTCTCAGTGGTAGCAGATGACAGAACGAGGAGTAATGGTCTCAAGTTGCAGTGGGGGAGGTTTAGGTTGGATATTAGGAAAAACTGTTTCACTAGGAGGGTGGTGAAACACTAGAATTTGTTACCTAGGGAGGTGGTGGAATCTCCTTCCTTCAAAGTTTTTAAGGTCAGGCTTGACCAAGCCCTGGCTGGGATGATTTAGTTGGGGATTGGTCCTGCTTTGAGCAGGGGGTTGGACTAGATGACCTCCTGAGGTCCCTTCCAACCCTGATATTCTGTGATTCTGTGATATGCAAACCATAATGGACAGGCTGTTTTTAGTAAATGAATATTTCTTTCTGCAACATGTAATGTTACTCTTCTCTTGTCTCTGGTCACATTGGAAACATCATGGAAAGTAGGTCTTCTATGTAATACTTAAATTATCCTCATTTATAGGGATGTTACTGGTGTGTCTGGTGTGTATTTTTATTTAGTTTAATTATCCCCTTTGGCAGCTTGCCCATTGGGAGTCCCTACATTAATGTTCCTCAGAGGGAAAACCAGCATTCTGTTGCCAAAAGGGTAATTTAAGTCCGTACTGGTCCCAGTAAGAACCTTGATTACCTGCATCTTCTTCACTTTTTGTGGTAAGGATTGAACCAGTTTTGTGTCTTTGTCATCTGAGATGTTAATGATCATGTCTAAGAAGGCTGAGGGACAGACACTAATTTATGTCTTATGTTGTTTTTTGTAGCTCTGAGGGGTTATTTTTTGAAACATAAGATCATACATTAACACTGACATCGTCGGGGAGAAGCATTTCTCTAAGTCCAAGCAATATTAATTCTCCTCTCAGGACACAATTCCTCGTCCTTCAGATTAATTTAAATCCACTGGAACTGTAGAAGGCCTTTGTTACAGAATATATTAGAGACTGGACTAGGTGATTTAATAAGTCTTTTCCTTTATTAAATTCTTTGATTCTCTGAGTATTGCACATCCCACAAGTACCATACAGGGAACAGTTCTTCCAAGAATATCATGCATCCAAGCAACATTTTAGAGAGATTAAAATAATCTGTTGCTAGCACCTTCAGAACCAATTGTGGGGAAAAATACTTCAGCTTTATTCACACGTGTCTATATTAAGATGCTTTACAATACTCACTAAGAACACAAGCAAACAGTATATAAAACTAAATTTAGCACAGCATAAAATACAATAAACCCAATACAAACTGCAATAAAGAAGGTGTTTGGAGTCAAACTCTGAAGGTGCAGAAGGAATTGTCAGAATAAATCTCCAGAGGTGCAACATCTTAACAAACCAGCACAGAAAGCTAAAGCCATTGCTTGTCATTAATGGCAGTCAGTACTGCCATCCGATCTGAGTGATTAATCCTCATCCAAACTAGGAGTCCACTAAAACTCTGGGCCTAGAGAAGTAGTGACCTCTGATTTAAGACAATATAGTTGGCTAAAATGGAGGAAACAGTTGGAATCCACAAAATTGGCTATTTACTAATGATTTCCGAATCCAAAAGGAATGTTTTTAAAACAGGGTTTACAAGAGCATGATGAAAAATCCTAGAAACCATCAAAGAATTAACAATGCTAGTTATAGCGCCAGAAAAGAGAGGAAGAAGCGCCTGACAGAACTGATAGGAGAAAGGATCTGACAGAAGAGCAGCCAATCTGACCTCACAGGTCAGGGCAGAAACGTCAGAATGAGCAAAACCGGTGTATAATTTCACCCAGGGGACAATCAGAGGGAAAGTTATGCTGGGTCCTCACCATCTAACCAGAGGGAAACAGCAGCGGCCGCATTGAGGGAGAGCACCTGCAAATTACCTGCAGCCCAAGGAGAAGTGCCGAGGAAAGCATTAAAACTATGAAAAAGTTGCTGAGAAGTATGGTTAGATGCCTCGGTCAAGACAACAGAAGCCTAGTGTCAACCAAGCAGGTGTTAGACAATGAAAGATTGCTAGGAAGCACTCACGTCAGGCACATGCCTGGAGTTCTTCCAGCAACACCTCTTGCAACAAACAAGTCATCCCACAGCCTGGAGGGGTTTGAAGAGAAATATGACTGTGGAGGACAGCTTGTCTAAGTACATCTGTGGGCTTTTGCCCTCTGTAATCCAGACATTGGTACCTCTGTGTTGCAGTGAACCATTAAATCAACCTCTGCTTATATAAACACCTGCAAATATTTTGATGATTAACCCTCTTAGCTGAGAGTGACGCTTCACAAAAAGGAATATTAAAAGAAACTCATGAATGAAAGTTCAAGTGAAAAATTATCTGAAAAGGGCAAAGTCAGCTAATAAAAAGGTCCAGACAATGTCTAGACAAGTGAGTGGCCACAAGAAATGGCTGCCTCAAATCAAGACTCACAAATCAGCATTGAAACAAATACA